AACCGCGTCTCCGTCTCTCTTTCTGCCCCTCTCGACGCCAATGGGATTCTTGCGATTGACTCCGCAGGCCCCTCCTTGTCCCATCACCGTCCCTTGTCCGTGTGTAAGCCCCACCCGTCTGCTCGAGCGAGGGGCAGGACTTGAACCTGGGATCTGCAGGAGAAAAAGACACACACGCCTCTCCCAGCTGACCTAAAGCATCCCCGCCCTTAGACAGCCTCTCTAGCTGACCGTTAGCCTCGTGGGCTCTTGCGATTGACTCCGCAGGCCCCTCCTTGTCCCATCACCGTCCCTTGTCCGTGTGTAAGCCCCACCCGTCTGCTCGAGCGAGGGGCAGGACTTGAACCTGGGATCTGCAGGAGAAAAAGACACACACGCCTCTCCCAGCTGACCTAAAGCATCCCCGCCCTTAGACAGCCTCTCTAGCTGACCGTTAGCCTCGTGGGCCAGCCGCCGGACCATAACCTGAACACCCCCAGCTAGAATATTACAGGACCACATTTTGTGAGGCTAGGTGAAGAGGGTCGCAGGGGTAGGAAACTCCTGACAAATAAAGGCATTATATTAGAGACATTTCATAGACATTTGTTGGCTGCAAAGCTATTCAGAATGTCCAGAATATATAATTATATATCTATATATTATAAAGATTGTATCTAGGGAGGTTTTGTGCAAATCTAATTTATTTTTTATTAAACATGAACTGATGTTTTCCTGTGGGCTTATATCCCTCCCTCCCTCTTTTGAAGAAATATGTTGCTTTTGCCAGTTTGAAGTATTGGATATTATTTACCGGGTTGAGGCTTTGTTGGTGCAGAGAAATCTCGGGGGGCCGGGGCATGAAAAAGCGGTGTAAAGAATAACATATTAGAGTCGTCAGCTGATTTTGGGACCCCGTCGTGCCGGGCTTTGCACAGGCTGAATAAGAGACTGGTCCCTAAAAGGTTACGGGCTAAAGCTCCGAATCAGCTGAGTGTTGAAGCCAAGCGGACTTAGTCACACTCTTGAAGTGAAAGGTGAGTTCATGTGTGTTGCAGAATCGGGGCCTTCGACGCTGTGCTTCACTCAGGTGGGCCAGAGCCTGGGGAATTTCGCTCTCTGTCTGCAGCCAGTAGGGCTACAGCATCATTGCAAGATGACCGAGTCAACTGCATCTGAAATGGCAACTCCCCAACACAAAGAACAAGGAAGCAAAACTTAACAGCGACAGCGACTTCCGACAGCAGAAAACAAAACAGCCCCAAATGACTCACCCTTAGCAACCCTCTGGCTCTGCCATACAGCCCCAAATACGCCGACCAGCTGTGCAGAAGGACTTCTGCAAAAGCAAGGAATCTCCCATACCCCGAAAGAGATCCGCTCCCACAAGAAATCAGCCTGTGGTCTCACACACAGGAAGGAAACGACAGGAACTCTCCCTGGACATGCAAGAAACCCAGAACAAGGATCAAAACCACCTGATGCCAATCAACCCACCACAAAACAAAGAAGTGGATCATAAGACTGGCCAGACTGGGTCAGACCAAAGGTCCATCCAGTGTCCTGTCTGCCCACAGTGGCCAATGCCAGGTGCCCCGGAGGGAGTGAACAGAACAGGGAATGAGCAAGTGATTCTCTCCCCTGTCATTCATTTACAGCCCCTGTCAAACAGGCTAGGAACACCATCCCTACCCACCCTGGCTAATAGCCATTGAGGGACCTAACCTCCATGAATTTATCTAGTTCTTTTTTGAATTCTGTTAAAATCCTGGCCTTCATAACATCCTCTGGCGAGGAGTTCCGCAGGTTGACTATGTGCTGAGTGAAGAAAAACTCTCTTTTGTTTGTTTAAAACGCCATGACCCATAGAACACCACCCCTAGGCGTAACCACGACACCCCAGCATCTTCGATCTGGAGCTAAACTGTCTGCACAAGAGACTGAATTTGTGCCCCACCACAAAATCTGACCCCCCACGAATGTAGAGAACTAGAAGAATTCTTCCGTTGACTCTGTGTCAAAAAGAATTTTTCTACAACAAGTGACACCACCCACAGCTCTCACGTCCCCACCAAGAGGCATAAGGGAGACGAGCCATCTGGCCCCACAATAGAAGCAACCACGCGGTGATCATGACACCAGTTGCGTCGGGTGGGGGAATTGACAGTGAAATCCGTTGTAAACCATCACATGCCCCACAATCTCTCCACCACCAAGGGGGCAGTTGCACAATGCCTGAAATCTAACCACTAAATAGCAATCTAACCAGCAGATATGGTTGTCAGACTCAACCATGATGACTTGGTTCATGAGGCCAAAGGACAACTCTCAAACACCCCCTACTAGGAAAAAACCAGAGAAGACTGGAAAGTCTCCCAGTCTCGGCTGAGTCACCCATTCCGTTTCAGTTGTTTCTAGTAGACAGCTTGGCTGATAAGCTGACAACTCACAGACACCCCTATTATTTGGCTTTCCGCCTTTATATAGGCTTTAGCAAAGGCAGGAATTGTGTTGAGTTTAAATTTCTTCCCAGTTCTTCCTGGACTTGCACATGGTTTAAGATGGATTCCAGCAGCAGGTGACACTGTCACATGCTTTGCAGGCCCCGCCTCACAGTCTTACAGGAAGAACAAGTCTGTTCACAGATCATTGTCCCGAGTAGTGGGCCATTAAGTTCCTTGCGTACTACTAATGGCCCTCACTTAGCATGGCCACATTAGTGACACCCATTTATACTTCACATGTCTAACTTCAGCTACAGGAATGCGACATGCACACATACGGGGTCATCATATTCAGCAGATTATTGCCTTTCCAATGATATGGCTCATGAAGTATCTCACCTAGAGCACCGCCCTCTGATGTCACCTTCATAAGCTTATTTTTATAGCACAGATGGAATGCTCCGTGACGGCCACCTCGACCCACGTCAAGCCACCTTCACCAAAGCAGGATGCTCCACCAGACACGTAGCTCACATCATGGAAGGAGTCACCCAGCTACCCCACAGAGGGAAGTGTTATACGCGATGGGGCCCACGTCTGCAAGACATCTTTCCTGAACCCGCCCCCCCCCTTCTGGCCTTCAAGCAACCCCCCAAATTTTCCAAGATCGTCATCAGAGGCAAGCTCCCCACAGACCAACTTCACAAGGCCCCAGGCTCTGCCAGAATAATCAAAACCCACCGAGCCCTCCCCGCTGGTACAAGGCTCAGCGCCCCCCCAGGAGATGCCTCTCCGGAGCCATGGGGCCTACGCACGTCTGTCGCATGTGGTGTACCTCATCCAGCGCCCGTAGCAACTCTGTGGGTGAAACCAAACAAGCCCTGCTCTCGCCGATGACGTCACACGGGGAAATGACACAAGAGGCAAACACCAGCTCTCCCCGCGGGCGGGCGCTTGTCACCCAGAGATCACACCGGCTCCTGCACGACCCCGTGCCAGGCACTAAAAATCCTCATAAAGACGCTGGATCAGTACACCCATCTGTGACCCCCTCACCTTGCTTGTGACCTTAGACTGTATAGAAGGTATTAATGGGCCACTTGTCTCCAGAGGGGCTAGCGCTGTTCCCCGGGGGCTGGGAGCAGCTTTCGCAGCCCGGAAGCTCTCTATGTGGCTCCAAGCAGGTGCTGGGCCAATAAAAGCTAGACCTTCCCCCACCTCGCCTCGCCACTGTCTTTCAGCAGCGTCGCTAGCCCCCTCTGCATTTCCTCTGCGGGCCTCTATCCTGGCTGGCCAGGGGCGGAAAAGCCACCCCGCTCCCGAGTCCCCGCCCATGCCAGGTCTAATCTCGCTGCAGCTGCTGTACCTGCGGTCGCGGCATGCCTGATGTACACCCGTGGGCTCAGTTACTCCTGTTTTACACCTGGGGCAAATTAGCTGGGCTCCCCTCGTTGCCTGCTGACCCAGTGTTTCTCAGCCTTGTTTGTATAAAATACCACTTTTAAAACAACAGTTATAAGCACCCCCCCCCAGTACCTACAGTTGTCAGA